TCTCTCTCTCTCTCTCTCTCTCTCTCTCTCTCTCTCTCTCTCTCTCGGCAGTCGAGGACCTTGTGTGCGCGTCTCGTTCGACGGGTCCCCTGCGTGTTCGGGGCGCTGGCGGAATTTCTCTGTCCTGTTTGACTTGGAACGCGGGTCGGCGGATTCAATGTGCATGCGAGCTGATGGGTGACTAAGCCCACGAGGAGGAAGGAACCCGGGCCGTGGGGGCTTTTCTGTGGGAGCATCGTCCGTTCCCCGCAGTTCGCGGAGGAGGGGTCTATGTATGGGCATGCTTGTGGGGCTGGAGCGAGGACAAGGCAACGGACCTCAAAGCTCTCATTTGAATACTAGCTCTTACCACCAAGATTTGCACCGGGACCGCCCCGTTTTGGCGTTCGCTGAAGGTTCCGATGGAGGGGTCAGCGGCCTCCTACCCGTCGCAGCCTCAGAGTTGCCGCGACGGCTTAGCACAGATCGTGCTGCAACACAGTCCGTTCCCGTTGCTCATAGACTCGAAGGTGGAGTTCTTACAATTTTTTTTTGCAGGTTTCGATTTCCACGATCGTCGCCCCGCCGTCTGTGTCATTTATCGCTATCGTGGTATTTGGGTCAGCGTGCGGCTTGACACCGGATAGAAAGGCTGGCGAGACGAAGGCAGCGAAGGCAAGCAGGGGACTAAATCTGGATGGGGAGCTACACCGGCTACATACCGGGGAGTAGCACCTCAGAGGATCAGGGAGTGGCACCACGGAAGCCAGGGAAGTGCCTGAGGAACAACACAGTGAAGAGCAGAAAGTGTTGGGTGGAGGCCGCGGTGACTTTGGATGTGCGACCTGTCTGTCGGACTCGCGTGAAAGGGCGAAGAGACTAATCGATTCGTCCAGTAGTTTGGCCATAATCGAAGTTTCTCACACGATGGCCAGGGCGGACGGCGCTGGGCGCTGTGGGACCATTGCGGCTAGGTGCTGCGATAGTTATTGAATGAGGCCGGAGGCACGGTGGCGAGGCTTACAGCGTTGTTGTTGCGTCCTTCGCTCGTGGTAGTGTCTCACTGCTGTTGTTTTTTTCCAGAGGCTAGCCGATGCGAAGAAGTAGTTTCACGCTCAGTAGGGCGACCGAACGCTACAACGGAGGTAGCAGGTTCGAATGGAACGGGAGGCGATAGGAAGGCCAGAGCGACGAGGGTAAGGACAAGAAAAAAATGAATTTGACCAGAATCGGGCGCAGGGTACATTAGAAGGAAGGAGATGGCTATGGCAGAGTAAAGGACGCAGTTCTCGCCCGATCCTTGGTGGAACCGGGCGAACCGAAGGTCGGAATAAGGGTTTCAAGAGCAGGCGAAACCGATTTTGAAGTCAGAATTACTAAAGAGTTAATAGAAAGAAAGTTCGTAGGAAAAATGGTTGCGCGGAGGTAATAAGAAGTGAGTGATGGCTGGGATGAAAAACGGGTATCCCGCTCGATTCTTGATGGAATCGAGCGGGGGAAGGGGCTAACCGGAGGTTTTCGCCAAGGGCGAATCCGTTGGTGCATACAGAATGGCGAGGAAGTAAGTAGAAAGCGGGGTAAGAGTAAAAACAGATGCGTGGAGAAGACGAAGAGAGGGAAGATGGGAGTTAGAAAGGGTAGGTCTTACTCGATTCTTAGTAGAATTGAAAGAGGTAAAATACTAAACAAATATTTTAAAGTCGGCCGACTTCATGTGCAAAGTTAGTGGAAAATTGGTGTTAATTTGGGAGGCAGGAGTTTAGTTTCCTAGTTGTATTGGTCAGGGGTTGTGCCCGAGAGAAAATCTTCGGAGGGCAACGTATCTTTCCACGATTCGGCGGAAGATTCATTAAAGCTTGCTCATTCTGACGATGGAGAGTCCCCTCCCTTGCGTGCGAAGCAAGGTACGATAGCGTACTACATACCTGTAGAGAGAGAGAAGA